AATCTCTGAGTAACTTTCTTTTCACTTTCTTTTTCTAAGTTCTTGCTATGCCTAAGGTTTCTGGAAAGTGTCATGTAACTATTTTGATTTGGGATTACCAGAAAGTAATCCAAATTCATCAAGATTACTAATTTTGGAGTTAGAGATAAGTGGAATTCTTATCCTGACTTCATTACATACTACATGTTTTAATTTGGACAAGTTCCACAATGTTTTAAGCCTCGATTATCTTATCTGACAAATCAAGATAGTGATATTTTTCTTACAATATTGTGAATATGGCATATAGTAGTTGCTTAATGGATGATAGGATTATTATTAATCATTTCAACTAGGGTTTATGACATTTCTGTATATACTGGCTCAGTAGTCTTCAAGAACACAAAGTAATTTCCACATTATTTTGATCTTCTCACTGGACTTCAAACCTAGTTCCAATCTTTCCAACTCACGTAATCTAGAGACTATATTTCTTATATTATCGTGACTCAGTATTTATTGAGAACCTATTATGTTCCAGGAACTATTTTTTGCAATAGTCTATAGTGGTGAGTCAAACAGACCAAGTTTCTACCTTAATGGAGCTTACAGTCTATTCTGAGCAATATATTTTCTCAACTTTACAATTCAAAATATCTTATTTATCTTAACTACCCCTTTCTGCCTTAGTCCTGTCTTAGAGGAAGATTGTTCTTTTTTCTTTTTCAAAACCAACCTTAATTTCCTTCTCATTTAGCTCTCTTAGATCTTGCTCCAATATCTATCTCTTGACCTACTGCATCTCAGATCTCTGTCTTCACTGGATCAGGTTTATCTTTGCATAAAATTTTCGCTAATGTTCTTAAAGAGAAAAATACAAACAAACCTTATGCGAACACCCTTCTTACTTTCTCCTTCCTTCTGTTTCTATTGTTTTTCAGTTTGGCTTTCTTACCAAGTCTATTTAAATAGCTCTCTCAAACATAACCTACTATGGCCTTCCCTTAGCTATTTTTTTTCCTTGAAATCTGAATAACTTATTGTATCAAAATGTCACCTATGACACTACTTATACCCAATTCTCTTTCTATTTTTTTTTTATCACAATGTGTCATCTTTTGCTCTTATTTTCCTTTCTTCATCGATTTTCTCAACAGATATTTATTGAAGGCTTATTATTAACACTCTAGTGAAGATTACACAGAATCTGTAGAGAAAGTGTAAGATACTATTTTCTATCTCCTTCACTAAAATCTCATCACTTTTCTCTCAACAATCTCACCCTCTACAAATTCCAATTTATCCCTTCAATCATAATCCTCCACTGAATTTCATTCCTATTGTTGCATTTGCCCTCTGTTCTTCAAGTTCCCTACCTGTTCCTCAAACTCCACATTTTAAATTGATGTAACCATATTCACCTAACCAACATTTTCTTTTAAATTCTATGTATCTGCTAATATCATATTACAGTCACTGAGACTTTAAAATTCAAAATGATCTTTGTTCTAGTGCTTAAACCTATCTCTGGTTTTTATCCTCATTGCTACCATTTCCTTCTGGTTACTTTATTTCCTTCTTGGAATATCATAGGTAAGTCCTAACTTTTTTTATTTTAACTATCTTTCCAAAATTTTTCCAGAGCTTACAATAAAATTCAAATTTCTTAGCCCTGGCTTTCAAACATCTCTAACAACTTCCTCAGTTACAATCTTCCATTGTCTGGTTATATGCCCTTTGTCCCACAATATTACTTTTCTCACTTGTGCTTTTCACTTTCATATCTGCATGACCATGCAGAAGCCACTCCTGCCATTTCATGCAAATGCTTTCTGTTTCCTTTGCTCATGGTCTAACACAACTACTATTTCTTTAGATCCTCTCTATCATTCATCTCTCAAGATATAATAACTTCTCCCTCCTCTGAAGCACAATAGAATATTTTATTTCTTTTGTCATTCATCTTATGCTGTATCATATCTTCTCATCTCACTTATGAGGTTTTGAGATCCTAGAAGCTAGAGACTTGTGGCATAACTGTTTATATCTAGTAGGTACTGAGCACACTGCCTTACCCAGTAAGCATATGTTAAAGGAATAAATTAGTTGAGAAGATCTCTTCAAAAGTTATTACTTATCAGTAAGGTTTACCAATAAAGTAATAAACTGTATATACTGGCTCAGTAGTCTTCAAGAACACAAAGTAATTGCTAGGCATGCAACTAAGTTCTCTTCCTCTCTCATCCAGTTATTATCTTGAGGCAGCATCACCTCTGAGCACAGGGAACAGGAGCACTAAGTGGTGAGGACTGTCCTTTCTCTGAGGTGCTTACTGTCTTTGAGATTGACATGAAAGCAAAAAGCAAATGATTACAATGTAAAATAAAAGAAATTTTAGCTAGAAATTTATATGAAAAAGATACTTCAAATAGAATAATTACTAAATGAGAAATGGGTTTATAAGCATACTTTTGTGGAATATTCTTTATGAATCCTTAAAAAATCAGGTCGTAGTTTCCAACTTATTATATCTCTGAACCTTAATATGGTAAATATAATGATGGATTTTCTTGAACAAATCTCAAAATTATAAAAATCTTGCAGAAATAGTGTAATAGTCTAATTATTTCCCATAGAACCTATTAGGCTGTGTGACACCCAGTTTGTTTGATTGGGCCTGGAATTTTGAGTTACCAGTAAGTGTAAGTAACAATATTATAAATAATATTTGCTTGGTAAAAAAACATTTTAAAGACATAATGAAAGGGGATTCAGTGTTGTTGTTTTTTTTAAATAATTCATTATGAGTTGCACCTGCATTAAAGGTGTGATCCTTGTTATAAACCATGCATAGTAGGTGCCCAGTACATTTTGGCTGAATGATCACAGTTGGAGAGGCTATCTGTCTATCAAGTTCTATGAAATGAGGATTTTTAAAATTTAGCTTTGGAAAGAAAAGGCTAGTTAAATATAGAAGAGTGCATGCTACTCTGGGGAATTAAAATGTTCAGGCAAGCAACACAAACATATATTTTTAAGTTAATTAAATTACACAATATAATAATAGGGAGTTTAGTGATATATAACTTTTGTATATTGATTATATTTCTAGGTTTTATTTCTTGTTAGTATTTTGTTCCAGCCCAACCGAGACAGGAAAACCAGTACATTCTTTATGATTAGAAAGAACTCTTTTGTCATTAGACTGGGATAAATTGATAGTTTTTATAGCCTGGCAAGAGACTAAGTCATCATTACCTAGATAGAAACACTTAAATCCTTTGAAGATGGTTATTCTTTTCTGAAGGAAAGTTTGAATTGACTGCTCGAGATTCTGTCTCATTCCCCAATTGGCGAGGGTTAGTTTTGCTGCAGAACTGATGACAGTTTTCACCCTCAGGGTAGGTAGATTAGATTGGGAAATGTATATGATGAGAGCTTGTCAAGGAAATTCAAGGAGCAGAACTGATAAATTCTAAAGGGAATTCTAATCTGGTCCTCAGATTGAATCATGAATGCTTATATCTTGTGAACTTACACAAGTGTGAGAAGGTACAGCAGAAGAAGCAGAAGAAAGAGCAGAGTAGACGGTATGGGAGGGGAATATGTCAGAAGAGGCACAAAACTCTATGACTTGTCCAGTTTATCATTTGTTGAGTTGTGAATAAAATATCAATTTGAGGAGCAATTTTGGTGATGACTAAAATATTTTGAGACATTTCTTTAAATAGTTATTCACAGAGCCTGAGTATTGTACTGAATTAAAATTCCAGAATTCCAAGAAATGAGCCTAGTAACAAACATGGAAATCCATTCTTGCATCTTTGGTCAGGCTGCCACAGTTCAGTCTTAGGCAGGATGAGTCTATATGTGGTTCATATGATTCTCTTATAAAAAAGAGACACCTGGTAGAAAATGAATTATTGGAAAGTGTAAATTTGTAATGAGTATGAATTCAATATGTAAGTCATAAAGGGAATTTTCCCCCTAAAACCAAGCTATTATATATATTTAAACTTTTGCTATTTATAATCTGCTGCTCAATAGTTAAAACAATTTGGTGCAGATTGATATATCTTTTTGAAAGCTTATTTATATTTCACATACAAATGTGTGATCATCCAGGCTTAATTATCATTACTTGGAATATTTCATATTGATTAAATGCATTGGTACACTTACTTTTACAGTATCATAATAATTGTTTTCAAGGTGAGATACTCTTAAATTAGTATTTTTCTCTTACTCTAAATATTATATCAATCATATATATTTTACTTATATATGGATATATGGCTACAGCCTTTAAAAAAAATAGACAAGAAATAAAAATAATTAGCTTCATATAATACTGTTAGCTAACACTCATATCACAGTTACTATTTTTTAGACCCAGTTTGAACTGCCTTAATTCATTTAAGCTTCAGAACAATTGTATTAATTTGAGGCTATTATTGCCTATACTTTACAAGTGAAAAAAGATTGTAATAGAGAGGTTAAATAATTTTCCTGTGTAAACATGGTGAATGGGTGGCAGAGCCAGAATTTAAACCCAAACAATCTGAGTACTTGGTATTCCCTAGCCAAGGTTAGAGTATGTAGCTATGTTACTCTAAAGCTATATTTTGATATGATTATTTATTAATGTGGGTATCTTCCCTTACTAGATTAAGAACTGGTAAGTACAAGAACCATGTTTTATTAACTTTGTCAAGTATAGTGCTTAATAAAATTTTTATTACTCCTGAATTACAGCTTATTATTGCCCTTAGATATTCTTTTCAGGAGTCTTCTATTTTGATGTCATTGGTTTTAGATTTACCAAACAAACAAACAAACAAAAAAATGCAATTGTTACCTGTAAGTGGAGTGTTACATTTATGATTCTCTTATTTATTAACTATTTTTAGGAATGCAATAGCATGAATGAAGCGGACTATTTTTGATTGATTTAGGATAATTTTAGAATCATGTTACTTGGTTGAAATTCTTTTCTCTTTTCTAAATACTCTTTTCTATAGGGTGCTGCTTTAATTAGAATGCTGGCTAATTTTATGGGCCATTCAGTATTCCAGAGGGGTTTGCAAGTAAGTAAAATGGTTTTTATTTTCTCTTACATTTTTCCTTGTCTATATATTTATTTTAAAGATTTTTTACAGGTTGGGAAATTACTAATAGAAAATTACTGAATTTGATAGAAAACTTTAGGATGAGTAAGATAAGCAGTGTCTTTCCATATGACAAATGAAAGTAAAGATTCTTACTGTACCAATCAATAAAAATGAAACTATTATACCACTTAGAATCTATTTAATACATATTTTTAAATTGAAGTAACTTTTAAATATATCAGATCTAAAATGATCTATATAAGATTTTCTGTAAGTCCACTTCCTTTTTCTTCCATTTAAAATTTTATGTAAAGTGGAAACGAATTATATTAGCTTTACTAAAATTATGTATTTGAGAAAATCTTAATGCCATTTTCACATCTACCTTTTATGTTGTTGTTTTACTGTAGATATACATAGATTATTTGCTCTAACAATATCTAAATTTTTTTAATTAGTAAACATAATATTTTAAATATAGGAGAAAACAGTTTTATCATATTGCATTTAGAATATGAAGTAAAGAATATAGGAGTGGATTCTTAGAAAAGAAGGATTCTTAAACTTTTTAAAGCAAACACAAATATAAAAAAAAATGGAACTTTTATTCCATTGAATGTGTTGAAGTAAATCATGTTCCTAGCAGCTGTGATTGATGAATTATTTATGGTGCATTCTGCTACTTAGAAGTGTCCTTTAAAGTAAATTGATGTTCACCTGAAATACAATTATGCTAAGACAGAGAGAGCAATCAATCTTATCTACTCTTAGTAAGCTTTTCATTTTGAAATTTAAATAAACTACATATGAGATCAAGTTATATTTTAGTAGTATAAGTCTATCTCTACCCAAAATGAACTAAAAGATAAAATACAGAGTAAGAGTTAAATATGTTCTGACAAAGCCATATATACTTAACACAACAAAGAAAAAGTATAAATTTCTCTGGGAATAATTTTCCTAAGAAAATATTTTCACAGATTTGTTCCAGCAGGGATTGTAATTTACTTTAGCTCTTTCCATTACAGACACCTTCAGAATACCTGAATTCCATAGAACCTATTTGCAGGGTGCTAAAGTCTTTATTCTGATCACATAGTTGGGAAAATCTTTTTTCTCAAAGAGTACTCTCCATGAATATCAACTTTCTGGAGGAATGTCCTTTCTTATCCCCACTCCTTTGGTTTTTCCCCCATTGAAGTTGTAGCATGACAGTTCCAGAAAATATCTACGCTTTCATAAGGGCAATACAAATTGAATTTGATTTCCTGGTAGCAAGTTGATGTGAAATCATTTTCTATACACAATTTTTATTGTTTTTCCTCATCTGGGTGCATGGATTTGCTCGGCAGATTGAATAAGTATAGCTATATTATTTGGAAAGGCTTATTGTTTCACAACATTTTTCTTTATCCTGTCATGCTTTCTATGGTATGCAAAATACATCAATTTTTAATACACCCTTTTCTTTTGACCCAGTCTGTTTAGTTTTGTCTGAAACAGTTAGAATATACCCTCAGCCTCCCATGTATTAAACTTTCATTCGAAGCTTATATTAATGTGTACCTTTATTCTCTGATACTTGATTTGGTTAATTTTCAACCGAGGGACTCTGTTTGTCAACATTGCATTTCATTTGCCTTGTGACATCTCATTGATCGGTATCCTTCGGTACTTCCTTGCAGCTTTATTTATAGTCATCACTCAAACTGATTTAGTGTATCATCAGCAGTTTGGATTAGTTTACAGTAGATCCCTATGTCTGGGTGATAAATTATCATCTCTTGTGCATGAAGATATATGGGATACATTTTGGAAATGACCTCCTGAACAGATACTTCATGTCATGGTGCTGAGTGGTCACAGAGTTGATATTAACATATTTCTCATGCACAAAGCTCTAGGGAGTTGTGTTTTTACAGTCTTATTGAAAGAGCTAATGTGGACTGTCAGTGCTTACCTCTGCTAGAAAACCTATTAATTGTTTTTACATTAACCATGGCTATTTTTATGTTGACAAATGCAAGTTTATATTTGCAGACAGACCCAGGGTTAGATTTACAGGCGTAGGCAATTCCAAATTGCAAATAGTGCATTCATACATTTTTCCTCCTTTTCTTCTTTTGTTTCTCTCTCCCTCTCTCCTTGCTTCCCTTTCCTTTATTTCTCTACCTCTTCCTCTCCCCCTCTTTTTTCTTCTTCTCCTCCTTCTTCATACTTGGACCTTAGCCCTCATTTTCTACCTGGGAACAGTAATAATGGTAGTTTCTTCTAAAATTTGTGTTCTCTTACAATTTTTATATCCTTGTCTTAGGCTCTTTTGGGAACAAGGCAAATATTTTTTACATATACAACTACAGAAAAAAATATAATAAATATAAATAGATGCAAAGTAAATTATAAATATAATAAAACTCATGTAGAAAAGTAGTAGGTTTCTGAGAAATTTCTGGGTCAGTTCACATGTTTATATTTAAGCTACAAAGTATCTGGATATAGATTCAACTATATTTTTCTACCTTTTGTAATACTTCATACTGGGAAAATATATTTTAAGTTCCAGCTCACATAAATATTCCTCTATAAGAAGGGACTCAGATTTTTTTGAGAAAAAGTTTGTTCCTAATAGCCATATAATCCAATGTATCCACTTATTTCCGAATAATTACAACTTTCCCTAGTCTAGTCTTCTCAATACATTTTTGTTTAATTCCTTTTATTTCTTGAATTTTGTCTGATGCTTAAATGGTTTGGTCTTGCATAGGTTTTTAAATAAATTCCCTAAACACATTTTTTTAAGGGGGAAATAGACACTAAATACACACACACACACACACACACACACACACACACACACACACACCAATTCATCCTGGATACCATTAATAAGTTATATTGTGCAATATATACTAACATTTTTTTGGGGGAGATAGACACACTATACACACACACACACACACACACACACACACACACACACACACACACAAATTCATCCTGGCTACCATTAATAAGTTAGATTCTGCTTCAATGTTTACACTGAAAGTGAAGTGTGGAGCAAATCAAGCTTGAACCTTTGTTTCATTTTATATGCCACTTGTAAATAATATCTTTTCATACATAGAAATGTTTATATTTTTGCAAACTCTACATATTTACTGTTCTAAATAATTACTTTTCCAAAATAATAGCTACACTTTCATATTTCTCTCTGGATACTTTATTGTTTGTGATTAAGCTATCTACAGGAGTAAAAGTCAGGAAAACCACTGCTAAACTTCAGAAAATCAAGAAATTTAAGTATCACAATGAGTTAATACCTATATTCTCAGCTGATTGCCATGAATCTGGAAGAGTCTGGTAGTACCTTACCTAGGCCTCTGCCAAAGCCCACCTGCCTGCTAATTGCTATTTGAGCCATCATGACTCTTCCTTCTTTCATGCTTTCCATAGCCCTTTTGGGTCTTTTTTATGGAGAACTTAAACTTGGACCTAACTAGCAAAGGATTCTAAGAATTGGAGTTTCCACTCATACAGTGAACAGATGCGTAGAATGTAGCAGGAGTGGTGAATTGTTAGCAGGTAATTTGACACATTTAATTTATAAATGTCTGCTCTATTGATTAAATACTATTGTTTTTGTTGGTTACTGTATTAACATATGGAGCTTTAAAAATATTAACACCCTTATCTCTTCTTTGATATTTGTATTCATACCTTACTTCTATAGCTGAAGCATAATGTTTTTAACTGATTTCTGTAATTTTTTAGACTATACGATGGGAGAAATTAGGAAAATCAAAGTCAATAACCATAATTCATTGATTTATTAACTACAGTTCAGTTGCCTGTGTTCTATAATCTCAGTTTCCTCTTTGAAAGAGTTGATTTAGTTGTGTCAGGGTGAATCGGTAAAATGTTGAAATTTTTTAAATTTCTCAAGTTATTAATCTTCTAAAATAAGGAACCAAAGAGGAAAAGACTGGAGAATTTATTATTATGACTACTTGTTTTGCTTTTTTATTAAATTAAGAATTTCAAAGTCTTGATTTGCACAATTGTAACTGTTAGCTTCTCTTTCAACCTCTCTCACCTCCAGGTGGGCAAATCCGCCTAGGATAGAGTAAATGCAAGGAGAAAAATCTAAGTAATGGTTTGCTTAAATTGTTTTTAATTTAAGACCAACTATGTACAGAGCATCTGTAGAGTAAGCTTATATGTTTTCCCAGTCCAGGATTTCTCCTAGCAATGATCCAGTGAGTAATGATGATTAAGAAAACAATTGCACTATTCATTACCTGCAGGAACTTAGAGTCAGTGGGAAAGGCAGCAGGCAGGTCAGCCATGACCAGGAAGCCCCTCTTGTGTACAGGCTTGAGTTACACTGTTCTTATATGATGTAATTCTTACCTTTATCACCTCATATTAGTCTGCAGCAGAAGTCTGCAAATTCCTTCCCAGGTCATCCTGTAAAAAGAAGCTGGTAATATTACACAGGGGTGCCACAGCTGTTCAATAATAAATTATTTCAATGCAATTTTCTCATTATCATGTCACAAGCATAAGCAGAATCTTGATTGGCAGGACACTGGGAAGGAGTACTGAAGTGGTACCTCATTTCTATCTTCTTTTCCACTTGGACAATCTTTAATGCCCAATGTTGTTGATTTTTCTTTTCTATGAGGTACCTGGAATAGAAATATACCACATTTTTGTTCTCTTTGTTTTTTTCTGTCTCTCTAAAAGTTCTTGGTGATTTCACATATCTCTCCGAAATCTTCCTTTCTCCTGTGAATAAAAGCTTTCTCCAAATTCCTCCTTCAAAACTGTCCATTCCAAAGCATCTTTCAGCAATCCTTACATCTTTCATTTCCTGAGGTTTTATTGTTTAAGTGCATAACCTTTCATTTTCACTCATATGTAGCAATGCTTAGGCATATGATCAATAAATTAGGACCTACTTATTTTACCTTGGT